TCTCGAATCTGCCTTCGAAATTTGCAGAACGATTCTCTGAACGGAGTTATGGAGCTTTTTCCACCGCGTTTACCACGCAACAGGTCATGGGATCGGATCCCTGCTGAGCTTAACTTTTTTGCTTCTTGCGCAGACGTGGCAAAAAGTGGTTCAAAAAAAGCGCCGTCACTGCTACTTCAGTGCTCACTTAAATTTGTGAATGAAGGAGCCTTGCGTAACGACTAATTTACTTCCTGTTAGAAGCCTTAGTAGTTGCAGGAAAAAGATTGGGCGTACAAGGTGCACTTCGGTGCGCCGAAAACAGCGCCGGCAGCGTTCGCTGCAAACGCTAGCGCCTGTCGATCTAGCGCTCCCAGCGTTTCACTAGCGTTTCGCTAGCGCTTGCAGCGACGGGGCTAGAGAAGAGGGCTAGCCGCTAGGACTCCAAGAACTTTTGCACCAGGCGGAAAATAAATTGTGGGGGACGTGGTCACGTACCATGCCTTCCATCTCACGCGCAACACTTGAAAATTCGCTCAGTGGTGCCCGGAGATGTTGGGGAAGTTAGGGCTTTATCGTTTACACTCGCCGCTGAATCTATTAGGTCGTTGCAAAAGAAATGCAGGATTTCGTTTTTTTGTATTTAATACTTATTTTATTCCAATAAAATGTAAGTGTTATATATCATTCGAAAGCTTATCTAATGCTCTTTCTAAATGATACTTCAAGATTGGTTGTAATTCTTTTTAGAGGCCACAAAATCGTTGAAGGCGTTTTTGACATCGTCTTGGTTTTTTGAAGCCTTTCTCTCTAAGATAGTTGTCCAGATGCTTGAAAAAGTGGTGATCGGTGGGCGACAGGTCTGGTGAGTATGGTGGATGAGGCAGAGTTTCATAGCCCAATCCGTGCTATTTTCGTGTGAGGGTAAATTGTGCCAAAAGTTGGGTAGGGCAATTGTGCGTGGAGAGAGTCCGGAATCGTGGAGTCCCTTCATATTGACCAACCTTGGGCACATGCGTTAAGGCTTCTGATGCATTTCGTCGATTTGTTGACAGTACTTCTCTGCCGTAATTGTTTCACCAGGATTCAGGAAGCTGTGATGGATGAGACCGGCGGCAGACCACCAAACATGAAGTTCATCATCTTCAAGCGGCTGGGTGTCTGCCCAGCGAAACGCCGGGGAACCAACCGTTGACGTGGACTCATAGATTCGCTGATACTTGGCCCCTTGACCCCCAAACTGTATTGTTGATTTTCCGAGCTGGTATCAGTCAGCGTTCGTTGTCCTAGCTTGAACTCATAGAATGATTATTAATAGCTGGCTCTTAAATTTTTTCACGTTGCGGACATCGTGTCCAATATAAATAGTCAATAAAAATTATAATAAAATTGATTATTACAACCAATTTTGGGAGTATCATTTAGAAAGAGCATGAGATGAGCTTCCGAATAGTATATAACACTTCATATTAAAGTAACATATTATTGGAATAAAATAAGTATGAAATACAAGCAAGCAAAATCCTGCATTTCTTTTGCAACGACCTAATACAATCGGGCAAATTTCGGATGAGTTTCCCGCGACATTTAGTCAATTTACCCCGTGAGCAACCAAATCTGCCTTCGCAAAAAAAGGTAGAAAACCGACCTGATATCGGAGGACTGGGGTGAGAACAGATTGTATTGTGTAAACTGCATCTATTAAATCTTAATTTTACATAGTAATAGCAGTAATAGCAAAAATGTTACATAGTAATAGCATCTGGTGCTATCACTATGTAACATTTTCATTGGTTGTTAAGGTCTTGTGCATGCTGAATTCATCCTCAGGCCTAAGTGTAGTCGTTGTGCTCATGTACGCCGTAGTGCTACATGAGGACAGGGGCCGTCACGCGCATATAACAAATACCCGGTTGGGATGGCATTGCGGATAAGCCATCTAAATTACAAACAGGACAGTTAGTTGGATGAAAAATTCTTTTATTGCGTATCACTTCATATAAAACAAGAATTCACTCGACAGGAAATTACATATGAACACGTATGTATGAAAATGACTGGAATCGGAATATTGTCATTGCGTGATAAAACACAATAACTAAGATGCTGTCCTTGGTAGGATAGGAAGATCAGGTGCTTCCTGGAGGCCCATCGTACTGTATTTCGTCACATAGGTGGCGAGAAATGTATTCCTCCTTAGTTTTCCTTCCCCATAACAACCTCATTTCTGCTGTGAGCTGCTTCGTCTAATCACCTATTTCATTTAAACACACATTTTCAATACAATTCCATAGAGAGCTATTGACAGCACCAAATTCACTGAGCCGAGATTCCGTTATCGTCGAAAGGATCCGAAGGCAAAGTTTCTAAACTCGAAACTGAAGTTAGAAACCGCCGTCAATAAAAAAGATAAAAAGAGAAAAAAAAGATAAAAGATAAAAATAAAAAAGACTAAATCAGAAAAGGTAGCTTTAGATATCAAACCTCAACAAATGGAGAGCTGTATAAATCGATCCAAAACATATATCTGGAAGCACGCACTAATTGAATTCAGAGAAACTATTGAAAAAGTCTTCATGACTAGGATCAACGTAACTAGGACTGATGTGAGCAATGAATGATAGATATGCCTTGTTTGGGAGCGCGTCGCATAGCACCGCCTCTCAGAGTCGAGATAGCATTTCAATGGTTTTCTACTTATACAATGACTTGGTGGGGAGTCCGACCCATTTGCGTCAGTGCTCCTAGCCCTCCAGAGAAACCTGCTACAAATTAACTAGCCAGAATTGGCGGCGGACTTCTTTGCTTAAGCGGGACCTGGGATTCGACCGCAGGGCTATATGTGGACAGAAAACAGAACTCTACCCGAAATAAGAAGAAAAAACCTTGATTGTAATATATTAGGGAAGGTGGAATGGGGGGACATAACCTACTCCTTAGTCTACGACACCTTTTTAGTTTAACGGTAGACAATCCTCCTCCACTTGTCGCTGAATCCTCGGTTCCGCTTGGCCATTAGCAATGCCGTCCGTAAACCTGTCCTTACCATTCATATCCATAGTCTGCAACACCCTTCTAGCCATCTCTGCAAGGGAGGCGCGTGACAACCTGAAAAAAGCCTATCAGCCTAAAAAAATTAAGAAACAGGAGGAAGATGGAAAACAAACATGCGTAAACAGAGCAAAACACACGTAAACATGACAAACAATCAAGAACGGGGCAGTACCGGAACAATTGCGAACAAAGAAAAACAATTATTGGAAAAGGAATACATAAGGCCCGCGTTCATACATGACGACGTTCCAGAAGTGATGAAATTACAGAAAGGAAAGGTATACGTATCGATTTGAAAACCGCATTTCTGCAAATTCCCGCGGAATTTGCAGAAATGCCGAAATGACGGACAGTGACTTGATAGGGATTGATCGTTTAGCCTCACCAGCGGAATTTCTGCGTTTCGGCATTTCTGCACATTCCGCACTTCTGCATTTTCCGCGGTTTTTGAAATTGATAGACTCGTTTGCACTTCTGCATCGGTATGAACGCGGACTAATAAATACAAAACAAAGAAAAAAGAGAAAACAAAACGATTGAGGACCAGGCAGGACGGCGCCAGAGCTGCGCGTGAGATGGAAGGCATGGTACGTGACCACGTCCACCACAATTTATTTTCCGTCTGGTGCGAAAGTTCTTGGAGTCCAAACGGCATTAGCCAGAGAATAGCGGGAGAGTATTTTGCACTCTCCTACTCTTCTATACTCTCTAGCCTCGCTAGCGCTTGCAGCGACGGGGCTAGAGAGGGGCTAGAGAGTATTGAAGAGTAGGAGAGTACAAAATACTCTCCTGCTCTTCTATACTCTCTAGCCCCGTCGCTGCAAGCGCTAGCGTACGCTGGTGACGCTGGGAACGCTAGATCGATATCTATCCTTTCCCCGACACTGCCGCTGGCGTACGCTGGAAGCGCTACGCTACGCTGCCGCAAAGTATAAACGCAGCCTAAGAGAGTGGTACTAGGCACTATTGGTGACCATCATTCAATTAACTGCTACCGCACTTTTCAAAGTTAGGTCAAAACCTCACATCTGGCTAGAAACCTGTCCAAGGGTTTTTGCTCCCTGAACACGAATATGGCACCCATTTGGCGTTGAGTGTTTTCTAGACTTAAAAGAGACATTCCCCACAAAATGCAAAAGAGGTTCCTTCCAGAAATTCGAACCCTTCATGGCATGCCCACGAAGCAAGACCATTACCACTATACACCCCCCGTTTCTTCTTCATTTTATTTCTAACAAATCTTCATAATTCCTTTCAGAGAATCGCCCTGCAAATTTCGAAGGCAGATTCGAGATCAGCGTCCAAAACCACGTCTAGTGAGCTACATCTCATTACAAATGGCCACTTCGACCTGACGACCTTCCCTAGTTAGCTACATTTAACCTATCCTTAACTCTCAGCTTCTTGCCACTTGACCAAACTTTTTCTAAAGTTTCCAAAATCTTCATCCAACCTTAAAAATCCAGCAGCATTGCTCTACGATAGAGTTTGTAATTAACTGGTGCACTGCTGACGCAAAAAATTGATGGGAATTTCAAAAGCATTTTTGACTGATTGTAACCTGTACACCTCACGATCTTCACTGACAGACTCAGTGCAATGATCAGAGGAGCCACATCCATGAAACGTCTGCTCAGAATGAGTTGCGCTTTGACCAGTCGGATCCATCGCCCGAACGGGGGTGTGCTGTTAGGTCCCAAAACTGAAAAACATTGGTGGTTGTCGGCTGACTTCAAATTTTGTCTTGTTATATGTTGGCCAGTTACAAATTCGAATGTTACGTATGCACGCCAAACGGGCGGAGTTGGCCTAACGCTGATCCTTTCATTAGTGTGCCCTCCGTATATGAGGGTTTACCTGAGCAGGGAACAAGCGAAGACGGCGCAGCAGTTGCCTAGCTCCGTTTATATGATTAGCGTGGAATGTGCCTTTAAACGATTGTAAAAGTGCGCGATCATCATTAAATTATGTTGCAGATCAATGGAATGATAGCTGCAAGTTTCCTGATGTCATCCTTGGATTTACATGCAGATGATCGCGACAAAGATGTGCTAAGCATCGGCGTTTTAGATGGATTTTTTGAAACGGGTCTACATAATCTCAAACCTCATGTATGTGCAAGAGAAGTATCTTTTATGATGGTTTAAATTTGGCACGTAATGGCTTATTTACATATTGCATTCGAACTCTCATATACAAGAATTGATAGGTTGATATTACCGCTGTCGAACGCGACTTGACTGTCCTGGAAGCTTCTCACAAATGGTTTGGACTTAAACCCTCGAGAAATCTGCACCTACTCGCTCAAGATGGCACGAAATTTTTGAAAGATTCTGTGAAAAGAGGTATTTCTCGTTAATTTAGCCGTGGTACAATGTGAAGAGACAGCGGATTGATCGGTTGGTAAATCCAGTCGAGGCGAAGCGGTGTTACTGTTGGAGTACGAGTACCTGGAGTCAACCAGTTTTTAAAGATAAACATACCAGTAGAAATACCCTGAAGATACCAGTAGTTTGTACGAGTCGCTACAACGCAGAGGTCCGAGCGATCTTCAGGGTTGAGAATTTGTACTAGACTAACGAAAGCTTTCCTACAGCATGAAAAGAGTCATTGAAAAAGCTTGGCTACTTTTTCAGAATTGTTCGGTGAAAATATACATTCGAGAGTTTCTAGATTGCCTGTTAGTTTAAGCATGCGTGCCGCATCCGGTAGGACTTGAATGTTGATCTTATTAGAACAATTACGTATGGTAGCGCACAGTTGTCTGGGATGCACCATGTATTTGAATTTCATTACAATATGTGAAGACATCAGATCTTCGAAACCTTGGCAAATGCGGCGGCGTCTCTGATCTTCGATCGTCGGCGGAGTGCGGAGCTCCGGATTCCCTCTCTCACTTGCGTGTAGCGGGAAACTCCGAGCATCGCCCTTTCGATGGCGCGTTGAATAACGCCAACCGCATGCTCATCCTGCTTTCATAGAGCCAAGTCTCTGAGGCGTGTGTCAAAGCAGGAAATATCCCAAGCCGCTCGCTTCCTCCTGCTCAGCTCTGGTGCTAAGTCGTTCATCATATTGATTTCACGACCTAGGTACACATAGCTAGAGCATTCAGAGATGGTCGTTCCGTTGAGCGTGAATGGGGCATCAGAAACCAATCCGTTTCTCATGAACATCGTCTTCGTTAGATTCAGCCGTAGACCGATTTTTCCACACGCGCAGTCGAATTCAGCCAGCATTCGTTCCGCTTGCTCGATGTTTGGTGTTATCAAAACGATGTCGTCAGCAAATGGTGTAGTTGCCGACCGTCGATCTTCACTCCCATGTCTTCCCATTCCAGTTGACGCATGACGTTCTCGAGAGAGGCGCTGAAGAGCTTGGGCGAGATGGTGTCGCCCTGTCGGACCCCTCTCTTCACATCGATGATGATCTCCTTGTAGAATGGTGAGATCTTGGTCGTGAAGTTGCTGTAGAGCTCACGAAGAATCCTGATGTACTGAGTAGGAATACCCTGGTTGCCCAGGGCTTCGATAACCGCTTCTGTCTCAACGGAGTCGAAGGCTTTCTTCAAGTCGATGAACGTGAGACATAACGGCATCTTGTACTCTCGCGATACTTCGATGAGCTTCGTTACCGTGTGGATGTGATCGATCGTGCTGAATCCTCTTCGAAATCCAGCAGGCAGATTGCGTGATGATTTCCATTGTCGTACAGGTCTCCCTTCTTGTACAGCAACACAGTCTTGCTGGTTTTCCACGAGGTGGGTACCTTGCATTCCGACAGGTAGCGCGTCGAGCCAGAGTTTTGACAAGAACTGGCGGAAGATTCTTCAGATGTTCGGGTCTGATCCTGTCGGGACCGGGTGCCGTACGATTCTTCACCGACGAGATGGCGTGTCGGACTTCGGAAGAGAGAACTGCAGGAACGACGTATCCATCCTGCTCCAAGCGGTATGGTGCAGGTGGACGTGGCTGTCAAAGAGATCAGAGTAGAAGACGAGGATGACTCATCTGGATACGGGGATTGTTCCGTCCGGACGTTGGTCATCTTGGTTCTTACAGTTGGCGAAGTCGCGGCGGGCGTTGCGTATGCTCTTCCCAGCCTCTGCGGCTTCCACCAGTACTGCTGCTCTTCTCTCCTTGAGGTCTTCCTTTATCGCTCCTCTGCATAGCTTCGCAAGCTCAGACGTCAGCTGGTAATTGCCTGCGGCTCGTGCGGCTCCACGTTGGCGAATCAGCTCGAGAGTTTCCAGAGATAGACGCTTCTTGTAATCTTGGAACTATCTGACCTTGGCGCAGTCGTGAAGATGCGCGACTTCGTATTCCTCGTCGATGTTGACGATAACGGATCCTCCCAGAGCCCAGCGAGAGAAGTGAAGTGATCCCAGTTGATGACGGTCTTGGGGCTTCGCTTCTTGAACTTTCCTCGCATCGAAAAGCGGAATCTTGCGCGAAGGAGACGGTGGTCGGATCCTGTGTAGAACTTAGGAACAACAGCGACATCGGTCAGGCAAAACCTTCGATTGAAGATGATGTAGTCGACCTCGAATTTTCCATTAGGAGACTCCCATGTCCAGCGTAGAGAGTAGGGCTTCTGGAACTGCGAGTTACCATGGATGGTATGGGTCGACATGATAAACTCAGACAGCCTTTCACCCTGCTCATTCCACTCCATTCCGTGAGTTCCGATGTGAAGTTCTTCAGCCGTTCTTCTTGGTCCGATCTTAGCGTTGAAATCACCGACAATGATCTTGAAGAACTCTCCAATTGCATATAGAACGCTTCGAGCTCATCCTCGTCGTAGCTTGATGTTGGTGCGTAGGCGACGAAGATTGTCAAAGCTGGCAGTTGAACCACATCTTCTCGAACGTCAGATTTGCCATCGAATCGATGTGCGTGTTGACGAGAACGCCCACATCGCCAACGCCTCTGCTGTCGCATGTTCCGAGGAACAGTTCTTCTCCAGTCTCGTATACGGCGTGTAGCGGGCGATGCCTCCTCGTCTCGGTCAGTCCGATGACGTCGTACTTGATCATCAGATCTTCGATGTGAGCTTCCGATGCAAGCGTCCGTGCGTTGAAAGTACAGATCGTCATCGTCCTGGGCGACTCAAATCTCCGTTGGCCCTGTGATTCTTGCAGCCTCGCCCGAGCGATCCAGCCGGCCCCACCCTGTTGGTGATACCCTCAGGCCCTCAGGTTCAGGGGAATGAGCCCCATAATTATTAACGTTTTGGCGTGAAGAAATTTGACCACGCGTAGCTCGTCAGGCTTTGACGTGGCACACTCCGCATTAGTGCTGCTTGGAACAGTCCAAACCGTTCTTCCTCACGCCATGTTGAGGCTTCGGATAGGATTTGTGGGGGGGGGGGGGGGGGGGGAGTGGTGCGACAGTAAAGTGAAACGGACGAACGGCTGAAAGGGACCAGGTCAGGACCCTTGTAATCGCTCAAAGGAAGTGAACGAGCCCACGATCAAGACCAACCAGCGATGTGAAGAAATCGTATCACAGGAAGTATGACAATACATTATTCCAAGCGGTAGTGAACCATACAGTATCAACAGGGGTCAGGGGTACGAGTATGTCTCCACTAATCAGTCTGACAACTCCCTGCTAACCTTATTTCACTTTTCCCCATCTCTGGCTCTGGAAGCGAGTTATGAGTTTTTTTCTGCGGCACCGCCAACTTCCTGTGCATGCCCCGCCTACTGTGGGCGGAGCATGCACCGGAAGGTCTTTGCATAGGTCATGTGTGCTCTTTACATCTTGTCCTATGCCCTACCCATCCCCACCTCCAAGTTGTTCTTCGGGTCGAACCGAATTTCCGGATACACGAACAAACAATTAGACAAACAAACGAACAAACAAACAGACGAAGCAAATTATATATAGTGGTGAATATGGCCATGGCGTGCAAACATGGCAGGCAATACATCTGCGATTGCTGATCGTGTCACCTTGGGCAAGGAAGGGTTTCGGCAAGGTTGTTTATGACGGACTGTGTTCTTGGGGAGACCCTTCGTGCGCAAACAGTTGGAGGGGTCCTCCTTGCTCAAGTAGTCTGGACCACAATTTTTAAGTGTCTCACTTTCGCCGCTTCGCAGCAAGAAATGTGAGCGAAGCGGCTCACATGAGTGGCAGTACCCACCTCTCCCTAACTGTATCGCCCACCGGAAACGTCCTCTTTACAATGAGCGCAGAATGCTCAGCTGTTGTTTGGTACAGCGTCCAGCGAATCCGAATACACGTCCACTTTAGCTGACCGCTCTCATGCTCATATGTACAGTGTAGTTCGCTGTGGACGGTTGGGCTTGTCGTGGATGCTTGTCGTGGGATGAGTTTGGCGAGGTGCTAAATCCGTTCTCCACCAGTTGTTGAAGCGGGCAATGACTGTATCATATCGTTCATATTACTCGTTTTCTGCCATTTTTTGTCACATGCGCGTCAACAACGAGGCAGAGAAGGTCAGTGGCTTTCACGTCGTAACACTTTCATACTGCCTGACACGCCCAACCGCCCGCAGTGAACCAGAGTATAATTCGCTCTACTTATTTGCCTTTTCCATAAGATGCATATAGAAAGACCCACCTGATGAGTCAACGATGATATTGCACTGGTGCAGTAGTTTCTCGGGGAGCGTGCTTCCCATATGCCAGTTTTGCACGAGACGCCACCAATATCTTTCCTCTGTCACTCGTTCTTTTTTTTCACGGTTAGCTGGCATTTACCAGTGGATGATGCGAAAAACTACTAGTGAGGCAGGATATCGCTCTATGTACTCGATGACGTTTGCGGTTTTTTTTCTGCCCTTGAAGGTCCCTTAGCGATCATAGGTTTGTAGTTGCACCCATAGTCAGTTAGTAACTCTTTAGGGCAGAAAGCCGCTGTTCAGAATACCGTCGTGAGATTTGTCTTTGGCAACCTTCTCTTACCGCACGAGTTTGTTTACGTTTGATGGACTTTTATGTGCCAACATCTCGTTCAAAGCATAAAAACTCACATATTTTTTTCTAGTTCACCATACAAGGATAGTTCCTGAGGTGGGAGTGATTCAGCGAAAGCCCAGGATAACTGCAAAACTGTGAGTTGTGGGTCAAAGGAAGCGAACTGCCGATCAATAGGACAGTTACCTACCTACCGGAGATTAAAGGTGGCCGACTGCCAGTAGAACGGAGCAGGTGCTTTAGAACTGGTAGACCGTCCTGGTCTGAAGGGGCCGGGAAGGGGGGGGATAAGTTCAGGAGGGAGTTCTGCGGAAACTTTAGGTTCAGGTTCGTCTCTCCAGAAGATTGACTGCGGTTTCCTCTCCGCACTTCTTACGCCCTCCGCTCTCGTCTACCTCCCTTCTCTGTAACCTAATTGA